ACTCCTTAAAGATAGGAGGAAGAGAAACAGAAATCTTTTATCTTTTTTTTGGTGCCAGTTCTGGAGCTTGAACTTAGTACCTGGAACTGTCCCTGAGCTTTTTTGCTCAAAGCTACCACTCTACTGCTTGAGCCACAGCTCCACTTCTGGCTTTTTTGGTAATTAACTGGCTTCGAGCCACCAGTGCCCAGCCAGAAATAGAAATCTTGAGAAGAAAAAAAAAAAAAAATCACCTTACTATAAATGAACAAAGATACCATTATTAGCTGACTTCCTCAGAAACAATGCAATGAGAGTGGAAGTGTGTGTATATATATATAGTTCAAAAAGAAACCCATCAGGTTGTATGACTTCCAAAAGAATCTAAAGACTAATACTTTTCTGTTGTTAAATTCCGGTTTGGTAGTATTATGACCTAAGAACATTTTTATCATCTTAATTATTATAAATTTGTTAGTTTATTTTATAAACTAAGATGTAGTCATTTGTGAATCTCCTATAAGCACCTAATTTTGCTATTACTGATTAAAGTCCGTGTGTAAATATCAAAAATTAATTAATTAAATTAAAAACCCAATTTTCCAAAAAGTTGAACTACTTTTTTTGGAGGGGAGGAGTCCAGTTATGGAGCTTAAACTCAGGGCATGGGCACTGTCCTGAGCTCTTTTGGTCTTTTGCTAGCACTCTACCACTTGAACTTCAGCACCACTTCTAGCTTTTTTAAAGTAGTTTATTGAAGATAAGAGTCTCATAGAGTTTTCTGCCTGGGCTGGCTTTGAACCATGATCCTCAGACCTCCTGAATAGCTAGGATTACAGATGTGAGCCGCTGGTACCTGGCTTAGTGAACCACTCTTAATGTGTTATTTTTTTGTCTCAATTATGCACTAATCAAAAAAAGAAAAGCCCAGACACTCAGCCAGCCATTATTGCAGGTCTATCTATGAGGATATTTCTAGATGAAATTAACATTTTAATCAATAGACTAAAACAAGCAAATTCTTTTCTCAAACACCGTAGAAGCTACCTATGCCTTTTCCAGCCTTACTGAAGGGTGTCACATCAGCACCCATCACCTACTTCATCTAGCCAAGTCAACGTGTGGAATATAAAGTACTCACAAGTCAGGCACTGGTGGCTCACACTTGTAATCCCTCCAACTCAGGAGGCTAAGATCTGAGAATAGTGATTTGAAGTCAGTCCAGGAAAGAAAGTTTATGAGACTCTTATCTCCAATAAATTACCAAAATACTAGCCTTCAGCATCAGGCCTTAAGTTCAAATTCCAGGACTAGCAACAACAACAAAAATATTCTCACGAAAACTGTGATGTAGCCGCTAAATGCTAAATTAATCTCTCACTATAATAATCCATGAAGAATGTCACATGTATTTATCACAAAATATTTCTTTGAAAACACAAAATGGATGTACTGTTCCCAAAACTGAAGGGAAGGTCACTAAAGCCCACCCCACACAGCAGATACCATATGGCCTATGCAGAACCTAGCACAAGTCACCAAGCCCTCATAAGAGTCTACCAAGAGGGCACTTACAGTAGAAGCTACTAAGGAACCAACTGTCACTGGTGACAATATTCTGAATTCAAATTCTACTCCCAACCCAATGGTCTACAGGAGCAATGCACCCATACATAATGAATCCCTCAAGAACTCACAATTTTGAATTTAATAACTATTTGGTGATAACACTATATTGTCCAATCTGCCCTTTCTAGATTTATCTCCTTGTTCCATGGGTCAGTGAGGGACTCTTGGAGAAAAGGGAGATTCTGTGGATACAACACAGAGCCTAGCATATGCTAAGCATGTACTCTATCACCAAGCTACATTCCCCAGCCTATTGCTGTATTTGTAAACAAAAATTTTCATTCTGAGGTACTAATTATCATGTTATTTAATAGAAAATACATAGTTTTGCAAAACAGGAAATGTATTGCCAGTTCTAGACCTCTATGTATTAATTTAGAGCTATAAAAGTAAAATTCTTAACTATAACCATATTTAATTTGTAGATACTGATTACTTTTTACTTCATGATTTCTCAGACATGGGTGGAAACATAAACTGCTTTCATTATAGAAATAAACCCTGCATTTTCAAAGGCTGCAGTCTGGGTGGCCAGACTCTAACCAGATGTCTGGTTAGGACAGCCTCCTTAGAAGAGGATTTTGAACTCCAGGAGCCCTGCCTAAACCTAATTATACATCCAAAGCCACGCAGGAAGTTCCAGAGTTTCCTGTGCATCTAAGGAGATGGTATGATTAAAACCTACTGAGGAAATAAAACACAGAGGGGCCATCTCTTACCTCCTACATTAATCTGGGGCTGTTGTGCACAGCAAACTCAATGGCCACAGAATGAGCACATCAAATAAGAGGAAATGAGACTGGACATCTTCCTTCTAAACTACGTTTTTCTCTGCCTTAAATCTAAGCTCTACACTCAACAGCAGCACTCCTACTATCTGAAGATTGCCTTGTAATTCTTTATAGTGGACCCTCCCAGGCCATATATACTCAATTCCCGCACCATCTCTATCCACTAGCATCACAGAGTGAGGATACCTTGAAGGTGACACAGATACCAGAAAAATGTAGGCTGGCAAGCTCAGAATACAGTGTGCCAGTCTGGGTTGCTCTTAATCTAAGGAGAAAAACAAAACAACAACAAAAAAGAACAATCCTGCTTTTCTAGGAGGTATCAAAGGCACATATTGAATTCATGGTTACCTAATACTTTCTAGTCTGTCACAGAAACTGCTGTTAAACTGCTTTTCTCCTTTTTCTCCTTTCACCAAACTTTTCAAACATGCACACACACATACACAAAAAAAACTTGCACAGTAAACATCCCATTTTTCTCCTTTTTATATAACTGGGCAATTTATATTATGAAAAATGTATACTATGTATTTAAATTTTTTCAATTGGTCAGTTTTAGATAAAGGTTCCAGTCTCTGAAATACTTTTGGTGTTTTTGAGACAGGGATTCACTGTGTAGTCCAGACTGTGCTGGAACTTGTACTCCTCCTGTCTCACCCTCCTGAGTGCTACAATTGCAAGCCTGACCACCACACTGTACTTGGAATAGCTCAGAACACTTCTAAATTCTGACTTTCATATGACATGCTAAAATTACCCTCCATGCTAACAAGTGCTGTCTTCAAACTATGTCCATTTAACTTCTACAACAGGGCTGGGAAGGTGGCTCAGTGGTAGAGCACTTGCCTTACATGCCTAGGTACATACAAGGCCCTAGGTTCGATTCCTCAGCACCACATAAGCAAAAAGAAAAAAAAAAAGGCCGGAAGTGGCGCTGTGGCTCAAGTAGAGCTGAGGGACAGCGCCCAGGCCCAGAGTTCAGGCCCCACGACCGGACCCCAAAAAAAAATATAAATAAAAAATAACTTCTGGAAGTGGCGCTGTAGCTCAAGTGGTAGAGTGCTTGCCTTGACTTGAAGAGCTGAGGGACAACGCCCCAGGCCCAGAGTTCAAGCCCCACGACCGACAAAAAAAATATATATATATAGAGCACTCAGAACCTCGGCGAATTAAAACATTAAAAATAATAATAATAATAACTTCTACAACAAACCAGAAACTGAAGCTGGGAGCTGTAATCCCCTGTAATCCTAACTACTAGGAGGCTAGGATCTGAGGATTGCAGTTTGAAGCCAGCCTGGTTAGGCTAGAAAGTCTGTGTGACTCTTATCTCCAATTAACCACCAAAAATTTTTTGAGCAAAAACGCCTGGGACAGTGCCCAGGCCCTGAGTTTAAGACCCAAGACAGGCATTTAAAAAAATAAAAATAAAAAAGAAACTGAACTCAAGGGAATCTAAGTTACCTTCCAACTCTAAAAACCTTATAATTCACATACCATATAACAATTTTACATAGGACAAAGCAATGATAAAGCTGTGACATACCATAAGAAGCTCCCTCCAGGCCTCATCTAGTATGTAGCGTACTGAACTTAAGAGTCAAGAGACCTGGGTCCAAACTCCAGCTTTGTCACATGATTGTATAACTATGTAAGGGAAAACCATTTAATCATACTTTGTATTTTACAAATGTCCTCTCCTATAAATAGGAATTGATAAAATCTAACTTACAGAGTTGCTGTGCAAAATAGCACGTGTAAGCCAATGAGAGCTAAAGTCCTTGCACACAAGTACAGGAGTTATTTCACCAGGACTCAAAGGTCATAAAAATGGTGTAACAAGCCAAGATCGGGTATGACAACTTATTTCAGTGATTCAAAAACCCCACCCTCTTCAACCATCCACCTATATAAAGGACACACCAACCAGGTTTCACTGGTAATGTCAAAAGGAATTTATAGACGCATTCTCACTGTCATTCGGCATCCGGAAGGATTCACCTTGAATTGAAAACACAAACTGTAGAGGAAACCACATGGAAGCCCTGAGGCCACTGCCCAGCTGAGAAGTACTTTTAGCCTAGGCACATTTTGGGACAAGAACCTTTGTAGGCAACTACAGGAGTGGTTCCAACCTCTCCTATCATAGCCACACCAGGATTCTGACTGCTGTCACTAATTTTTCCCTTTAAATTCCTCCATTAGAATCTTTTCTACCAGTTGTAGGAAATGTATAACTACTTAAAACCATTTAACCTGTTGTCCAATAGGTGTAAATTCTCTGTACTGACTTTAAAACTACCACCCATGAGACTCACCTAACCTCTTTCAATCAAATCTGTATCCTGGGGCAAGTTATTTAACCTTTCTGAAGTCTCAGTTTCCTCATACATAAAAGAGGACTGGTAATTCTTCGTATCTTAGAAGGTGCATGGAATTATGTGAGAGAATTAAATGAAATAATGAACTAAAGAACTTGCCAGGGTGACAGCCCACAGTAAAGACCAGGTAAATGGGGAGCTATCATAATTTCCAAAACACACTGCATTCCCCAATTATGACTAATGCCTTATTAAAATAAAGGCAGCAATTCAAAAGACACTTTGTAAGAGAAATCCTTTATAAAGAATGACGAAAGACTGTTTTACTTAGTACTTACATTAAATTATATACTATGGCACATAAAATGTCAACAAACAACTCTAGCTTCTAGTTCTTTCTCACTGAAAATTACATATCAGGAAGTACTGGAAATATATGGTAGAGAGTCCACAGGAATGATAATCAAGTCTAGTATTGCTGCTCCACATTTGGCACCATCTACATGGCCTTGAGCAAGTCATCCTTGTTAGTAAAGAAAGGTGAATTAAGATCTTTGTTTTGGCTTCTCAGAAACTCCATTCATGGTTTGTATCTTTAGAACCAGTAACCAAAACTTTTCTCAGAGAAGAAATTGCTTATTAGGATTGTGTGGGAGTGCTGTGCACACACACAGGTAATTGAGGTTTGAACTCAGAGACTCCCCTAATTTGTTAGAAAAAAGCACTACCACCAGAACCATACCTCTAGCCCTAATAATTATCTTTTATGCCTATCAATATTCTACTAAAAACTCACAAAGTACTTGAAGCAAACAATAAATACATTTATCTCTCATAAAATTCTATACTGAAGATATACGAATCATAATAAAATTGATGTATTAAAAACAGTTAAACAGAGGAGTTAGTCAAAAGAAAACTTAAACTCATGAAGAGAGCTACATAAGTCAGTAAGTTAGCATCAGGTAAATCAAAACCAACAACTAATATGATAACCATATTAGTTGCCAAAAAACAAATCCGGGGGAGAAAAAGCTAGTAAAAATGTTTCTTAGGGGGCTGGGAAGGTGGCTCAGTGGTAGAGCACTTGCCTTGCATGCTCGAGGCCCTGGGTTCGATTCCTCAGCACCACATAAGCAAAAAGAAAAAAGCCGGAAGTGGCGCTGTGGCTCAAGTGGTAGAGCACTAGCCTTGAGCTGAAGAGCTGAGGGACAGTGCCCAGGCCCAGAGTTCAGGCCCCATGACCGGACCCAAAAAAAAAAAATGTTTCTTAGGCTAGAGGTGTGGCTCAAGGGGTAAAGCATCTGAATAGCAAAAGTGAGGCTCTGAGTTCAAACACTAGTAGCACAGTAAAAAAAAAAAAAAAAAAAGGTTTAATAATACAGCCAATTGATCTTATACTAAATTCTTCAACACACATGGAGATTTTTAACCTTTTTTTTTTTGAGTCAAATGACATTTGTAAAATGAGGGATCTGCGTTATTTCCATATGCACACAGAGTATTTTGAACAAATTCACCCCTTCCACTATAATCCCATTGCCTTTCTTCCTCCTGACCTTTTTGAAACAGCATTTGGTAGGTTTCATTATGCTGTTATTGAAGGGAGAGGTATTCCTGTCCTTTGTTTCTCTTTAACCCCTGTAGTCCCTCTTTTTCCCCTACTCCCTCCAGATGATGGCCTTCCAGTCCCTTTTATTCATGTTTGTTATCACTAAAGTATCACCATTTAAATCTATACTCCAAAGATGTGCAAGAATTTACAATATTTGGATCTCTAAGTTTGCTTTATCTCATTCAAGATGATGACCTCCATTCATTTCCCTACAAATGATGTAAATTCATTTTCTTAACAGCTCAATAATATTCCATGTTGAGTAACGTTTATCTGCTGTTGGGCATCTAGGAAGATTCCAGAGTTTGGTTATTATGAACAGAGCTGCAAAAAATATGGGTATGCAAGTTATCGTTTTGTAAATTGATTTACTCTCCTTTGTATATATATATATCCAATAGTGGTACAAAGAGATCATAAGGTAGGTCAATTTTTAGCTTTTTGAGGAATCTCTGTAATGATTTCCATAGTGGCCTGTACTAGTTCACATTTTCACCAACACTGTATAAGGGTTTCTTCCCCTACCTATATCCTCAGGAGCATTTACTGTTGTCTTCTTGATGACTACTTTTCTAATTGTAATGAGATGGAATCTTAGTGTAGTTTTGATATGAATTTCTTTTATGTCTAATGTAACATTTCATGTATTTATTAGCCATTTGTATTTCTTCTTTTGAGAACTGGTTGTTCAGTTCAATTGCCCAGTTATTAACGGGATTATTTGTTCTTTTGCTTAATTTAAGCTTTTTGTATATTCTGGATATTAATCCTTTATCCACTGAACAGCTGGCAAGGATTTTTTTCCCTGTTCTGTGGATTGTCTTTTGCAATGGTTCCTTTTGATGTGCAGAAAGTTTTTCACTTGATGCACTCTCACCAATCATTGTTCTTATTTGCTGGGCTGGGTTTTTAATATTTTATAAATTACAGAACAGGTCCAAGGAAAGCACTGACCTCTCTTTCTCCCTCTCTCCCTCCCCTCTCTTCTCTCTTTTTAGCAGTATTGGGAATTGAATTCAGCATTCTATACTTGGGCCACACCTTCAGCCACCATTCCTGCCTATTTCTAAGAGAGTCTCACTAACTTTTGCTAGTCAGAATTCTTTTCACTAAGCTACATCTACTTATGGGATAGTGGGGGGGGGGAGGGAGAAGAAGTTAATTAAGTTAATTATTAGTAACCCCAGCTCAAAAGGTCACAACATAACAAAGCTCTATTTTCAATTTTCCTAATCAGAGAAAAGGCCACTCACGCCGACACATGATTTTTCTTTATTGTTCTGTAAGATTTAACACAGTATTTAGAAAGAATTAGAAGCTCCCTAGATTTTTTTTTTCAAACTCAGAATCATATAACTCTTATCCTTCTAATAGTTTTTCAAAGAGTAACCATCTCAGTAAGCCTCTCAGATCCAATTCTGGAAGATCTCTTTTTAATACAAGTTGCTGGAAAGGCCTATTGATAATACTTAGCATTCCAGACAAGTGACAAAGCTGGAAAAGGACAACCTAAAAGAATTTCTGGCTATACTACACAAATGATTTTTCCAGATTTAGTCCAAAACAAATTTGTTCCCAATGTTCAAATTGCCAGAAGGCAAGAAACTTTGAGTCCCCTGGCCACCCTTCTCAGTCAAAGTTTCTTAGTATTTAGAAAAATAATATGTTTATTCAGGACTTCTATAATCATGGCTTTATGCTCAGCCACTTGGCAGGAAGTCACAAACTTATACAATACTGTATTCATAAATAAACTTCTGGCTATGTTTAATTAAAAATACCAATTTATATGCCTCTACATTTGTAACAAACTCTCATCAAAAATACAAAAATAAAACTTTTATATTTTACTAGTAATTCAGTTTAACAATGTAAAAATACTTTTTTGGCCAGTCCTGAGGCTTGAATTCCGTATGGACTCTGTCCCTGAGCCTCTCTGTGCTCAAGGCTTACACTCAAGGCTTACACTCTACAATTTGAGCCACAGTGCCACTTCCAGGTTTTTCTGTTTTATGTGGTACTAAGGAATCGAACCCAGGGCTTCATTCATGCTAGGCAAGCACTCTACCATTAACCCACATTCCTAGCCCATAAAAATAACTTTTTTTTTTTTTTTTGGTCCTGGGGCTTGAACTCTGGGCCTGGGCATTGTCCCGGAGCTCTTCAGCTCAAGGAGAGTGCTCTACCACTTGAGCCACAGCACCACTTCCAGTTTTCTGCTACTTAATTGGAGATAAGAGTCTCATGGACTTTCCTGCCAGGGCTGGCTTTGAACCCTGATCCTCAGATCTCAGCTTCCCAAATAGCTAGGATTACGGACATGAGCCACCGGCACCCGGCAAAAATGCTTTTTGAAAAGCTTAAATGTTTATATTTGCAAATATGTTTCGATAATGTCAAAAAGGATTTTTTTTTTTTTTTGCCAGTCCTGGAGCTTTGACTTTGGGACTGGGCACTGTCCCTGAGCTTTTACTGCTCAAGAATAGCACTCTACCACTTGAGGCACAACACCACTTCTGGCTTTTTGTGTTTATGTGGTACTGAGGAATCAAACCCAGGGCTTCATGCATGCAAAACAAGCACTCTACCACTAAGCCACATTCCTAGCCCAAAAGGAAGTCTTTCTAAACTAAAAGTTAAAACAGATTAGAATTCAAATTAAGTTTGGTAAAAATTACGTGTCTTTCCAACAAACTTTTTACTGGTTAGGTTTTAGAAGAAAAATGAATAAAAAGTGCTATGGAGTTGGGCACCAATGGTTTACATTTATAATCTAGCTGCTAAGGAGGCTAAGATCTGAGGATCAAGGTTTGAAGCTAGTCTAGGCAGGAAAGTCTGTGAAATTCTTATGTCTAATTAACCATCAAAAAGCCAAAAGTGCCGAGCAAGAAAGACAAATATCACATGTTTTCTCTCATATGCAGAAGCTAAATCTAAAATACAATGGAGTCTCATGCGGTGAGACTAAAGGAAGATTCTCTGTAGAGAGGAACACAAAGGCCGAACACCCATGTGCATTTGATCATATAAAATAAGGTTTATTGAAATGAAAACAAGGTTTTTTTTCCTTGTTGTTGTTTTGTTCATTTTTCTATCTTCAGGAAGGAGGGCAGAAATGGAGGGACAAAGGGTGAACAAATACAGCAGTGGTACTCACTAGAAATATATTGAAAATGAACTATACAACTTGTGGGTGGGGAAATCTGAGAGAGCATGAGGAAGGGATGACATTGCTAAAAAGAAATGTACTCTTTTTTTTTTTTTTTTGGGGGGGGGGGGAGGGTCCGGTCGTGGGGCCTGAACTCTGGGCCTGGGCGCTGTCCCTCAGCTCTTCAAAGCTCAAGGCTAGCGCTCTACCACTTGAACCACAGCGCCACTTCCGGCTTTTTTCTTTTTGCTTATGTGGTGCTGAAGAATCGAACCCAGGGCCTCAGGCATGCAAGGCAAGCACTCTACCAGTAAGCCACCTTCCCAACCCAGAAATATACTCTTTACCTGATTTATGTAACTGTAACTCCTCTGTATATCATCTTTATAAATAAAAAACTAAAGCCAAAAGTAAAGGTAGGGTGCCAGCCTTGAGTGAAAAAAACAAATGACAGTATGATGCCCTAAATTTAAAACCCAATACCAGCACACACAAAAAAATATTTCTGTTCTCTCTCTTTTTCTCTTCTTCCTTCCCCTCTCTCTCCACATGTCTCCATCTCTTGCAGGCCCACAGTTTGCTCTCCCACCAATAACTCTTTTTCTGCCTGAAAAAAAAAAAAAATACTTCTATGCAGTTGTTTAACCTTGTTTCTACAAATATAAAGCAATGTATTCAAGAGGACACGGAGCAATTTTGCACCATAGGGGACACTGACATTGCACTTTGTCTATAGAAATTCTTGGCTGTCATAACTTGGAAAGTGAGAGAGTTATTGATGATATTGACTGTGAAAGTAGTTCAAAGCCAGCCTGGACAGACAAATCTAAGATTCTTATCTGAAACTAACCAGCAGAAAGTCAGAAATGGAGATGTGATTCAAGTGGTAGAGTACTAGCCACGTATGAGTATAAATAAGATCATGAGTATAAGCCCTAGTACAGGCACAAGTACATACACACACAGACATACACATATGCACGCGCATGCTCTTACCCCTTACATCCCATTCCACCCTCATTCCCCCATGAAGTACATATGAAAGGACCTATGACTCACAAACTAGCAATCACACCTGGTTCCCAACATGTGTGTTTAACTCTTATAGCACTTACCAACAGACTCTCAAGCAACACTGTATGTAAATTTCTCCCACAGGTTTCTCCTAGAAAGCACAGGCCCTGTATCTACGGCAAACAGGGCAAGTACCTCAAAAACCATATGGACACTTTAACAAACACTTGAAAAACAGACAAAATCAAAGCTTTGATGTGAAGAATCCAATCACTGATGAAAAGTACATGCACATCAAAGACAAAATAGGTCAGTTCATCACCTACTACACAATTCACAGCCTATCATGAGATATCCCATAACTCAAGTTCAGATTCACTTCTTAGTAGCAAAATGAGGATATAAGAAGGAAAATGAGAAAGTACTTCCAAGTTCAAAGCGTCACAGTCCATACTTCCTTCCTAAAATTCTGAAACATAACTCAGTTACAGATTTTGCTTTCACCAATTCAAGTTAAATCTTGTTGTGTGTCTTTACTGCAAGTTCAAGAAATACAGCTCAATTATTTATCAGTTTCAAAATAACCAATACAATATTAAGAAAATAGAGCATGTTAAAAAAATTGGGAGGGAAGCCGGGCGCTGGTGGCTCACGCCTGTAATCCTAGCTACTCAGGAAGCTGAGATCTGAGGATCGCGGTTCAAAGCCAGCCTGGGCAGGAGAGACCATGAGACTTCTATCTCCAATAAACCACCACAAAACCGGAAGTGGCGCTGTAGCTCAAGTGGTAGAGCACTCGCCTTGAGCTGAAGAGCTGAGGGACAGCGCCCAGGCCCAGAGTT